GTGTAGGGGGCGGGCAGGTTTATAGGGTATACCCTTTGGTCGATTGATGATGCAGGGAGGGGATTGGAACCATGGCAATGAAACGATGTACGGTGAGATGAATATAAAACTAAAGTTCTCCCATGTAAAATATCATATAATTCACAATAAAACATGGAAGAAAAAAACGGAGGGAAGATGAAAAAAGAGAGATTAGATAGTAGTAAAGAAAGATCAAGAGAGGAAAATGAAAGTAGAGATAAAAAGGATAAAATTAAAGGGAAGAGAAAGATTAGAACAAATAAACACAATGAAACAACAAAAGGGAAAAAAACCCCATTAAGCCAGTGCAGCTGTTGGACCAAAGAGAAAACTCTGTGGGGCGCTTGCTAGCTTAGGAGCCCAGGGGGTGAGTGTAGGAGGAATGTGAGGATAAGACTCCTTGCTCTAGATGGAGTTCCTGAGGCATAAGCATTGTCTATGTTCAGAACACTCAATTCAGAAGTAGTTTCTGGAGGCCCTTGAACACTCTGAAGCCGGTTTCAGTCTGTTTGGAATACAGGGCAGCTAGGGGGGCTGGTTATGAGGCTTGCTGCCAGACTAATGCTGGCCTAGTGGCTCTGCAGGTTCTATAGGTCTGGAGCTGAGGCTTCCTGAATCCAGGCACCCAGATGGCACCTGGCTCACAACTTCACAGCTGTGAACCCTGAAGAGCAGGGTTTGAGCTGGGGGTGGATGAGGTTGGGGGTCAGCCACACTTCTAGTCACCAGGGAGTGTGGGGAAAAAGAAGGAATCCCACTTTTCTATCACCCATGTGAATCTGCTCTGCTGGGCCATCTCTGTCACCAAAGCTGCTCAGAAAAGTTCAAGATAGCCATACCACATCTGGCCAGCCAGTACAATCTACTGTACCCGGCTTCTCAGCTTCTCCTTCCAGTTAAGTATTCTCTAACCTTACATCTGAAGTTCAGGTTCCAGGGTTATGTGTCTGTTTCATCTGATGCGGTGCTGTAGGATAAGCACTGGATTACTAACCACAGGCACAGGGAGTCCTGGCGTGGTGCTGTGGGTTAATGCGCCAGACTGCAAAGCCATTTGAACTGCAAGGGCAGCAGTTCAAGCTCACCAGCTGCTCCTCGGAAACCCTATACAGGGTCGCTGTGGGTCAGAATCGAGTCGACGGCACTTAGCAACAACACTAACCACAGGGTTGGTGGCTCAAACCCACCAGCTGCTCCTTGGAAACCTTATACCAGGGTTGCTATGGAGTCCTGATGTGATGCTTATAGGATAAACACTGGACAAGGTTGGTTTGAACTACAAGCTCACCAGTTGCTCCTCAGAAACCCTATCGTATACAGGGTTGCTGAGTCGGAACTGGAAGGCACTAAGGATAAGCATATCTCCCTTATGAAGGGTCTGTGTAGCACATCTGCTGAGCTTGCTAGTCTGCTGAAGTCCTCTTCTCTCTTGTAAAATAAGGGATGTCGCAGGCCACACCCCTGGGAATCTCACACAGATTAGATTAGGGTTGTGATGGGATTAAGGGTATTGCAGGGGCTCTGTAGCGTAGTGGTTTAGAAACTACCAGTGGTTCCGTGGGAGAAAGATGAGGCATTCTGCTCCTGTAAAGATTCACAGCCTTGGAAACCCTGTGCAATTACTTAACTGTCAAACCACTGAGAACCATGGCCCTGCCAAGCTGACAAAATATTTTGGGAGGAACACAATACAATCCGTGACAAGTAGGGCTAATAATTATTTCCTAATCTCCCAAAAGGCAAATGTCAAAAAACCTCTTCTGACCTTGACAATTTAACTTAAACTGTCTACAGATCTCTATCACTGCTCTATGAAGCCCACAGCTTCTGAACTGGCAGTTATTTTCCCAGACATTTTCTTGTTATTTCTCAGCATTCAGGTGTTTTATACTAAGTTTAATATGTAATGTCTTCCACCACAGGTTCTCTGAGCACCCTGGTAATGACACCCGCCCCCACCCCCCCACCCCCCCAATCTACTGTGTGCCAGGGAAAGACAGAGAGCAAATTACATTGCTGGCTGGAGACAAAGAAGTCCAAGATGAAGCAAAGACAGCCCTATGTGGAAGGGAACCTTCCTACTGGGCTGCTTGCTTTTCATGACCTTGTGGACACAGCGCAAGTATCCCAGGGGCTGGGGCTGACCCCCAAGAGAGTGGAGGCTACAAAGTAGTCTAGGAACTGTGACATCTAAGTCATGCAAGTTTGAATTTCATTGTTTACATCTCTATTATTTTGAAATACAAATTTTAATGAAAAAACATTCAAAATACATGATTGCCTGTTGTAAAAACCTCACATTTGGTATTATTAGCATGTTATGCATTGTTAAACATTGTTTTTTTACTTCCTATGTCTTGCAAGGGAGTCCTGGTGTGGCACTGTAGGATAAATGCTCAACCACAAAGTTGGTTTGAACCCCAAAGTCGTTGGTTCAAACAAACCAGCCACTCCTCAGAAACCCTATAAAGGGTTACTATGGGTGAGAACCGACTTGACAGCATTTAACAGCAACAACATGTCTTATAGAAAGGTGCTCTGGTGGCGCAGTAGGCTACATGTTGGGCTGCTAACTGCGAGATCAGTGGTTTAAGCCCACCTCCAGAGGAGAAAGAAGTTGCCTGCTCCCATAAAAACACCAGTAAGGTGTCCTAGAGGGTCACTATGAGTCACCATGGACTCAATGGCAGCGGGTGTGTCTTACAAATCATTCCCTATCACTGCATTCAGCACTGCCACATTCTTTCCAACAGCTGTGCACTGCAGAACAGATGTGCTGTATCTACTGAACCAGTCAGCCTCCTCCCATGTGCGCCTCGGTGGGCATCTCTTCCAAAGAACGGTGCACACAGATGCAGTAGAATGGGGGCAGGGCTGCTCTGCTGCGACATAAGACTGGCCAAACGCAGCCTTGACTAATGGTAAGCAGCTTAGAACCAGAAAAAAACCCTCATCTTTTATGCCACTGAACTGTACACATAAGAAATGGCAAATGTTTTATTACATACAAATTGATCAAACCGAACCCCAAACTCATTGCTATGGAGTTGATCCTGCCTCAGCAACCCTACAGGACAGAGAGAACTGCCCATATAATCTTGACGGAAGCAGACTGCCACATCTGTCTCCTGTAGAGCAGCTAGTAGGGTCAAAGTGCCAACCTTTTAGTTATCAAGCCGAGCGCTTGGCCACTGTGCCACCAGAGCTCCTCATACACATTTACCACAATAAAAAAGGAAAAAATTTATCTGGGTAGTAGCAAGTTTTGGCCCAAGAGCATCCAATATCTTATCGGTATGTACAACTCGTAAGTTTGTGAATATTACAAAAGAAAAGCAACTTTCAAAGCGACAAAGACAAGTCCAGGGAAGACGGTTCATGTAGTATACTCTCAGGTGTTTTTCCTCAGGCACAGGAAAGGGTGGCTGACATGGAAACTGTGCTGGCTGTCACAGAACACGTCTGATTTTTATCAAAGGGCAACCTAAAATGAAAGAAGACTTTTATTTTCTTCATGGGGAAATACAGTAAAATACAAAAGACAGTTACTTATTTTAACCCTTCCCTACAGAATGAACCAGTTGCTATTCATGCCACAGCTAAGAGTGAGGCAAAACCAAAACCCAACCTAACCCAACCCACTGCTGCCGAGTCGATTCTGACTCATAGCGATCCTACAGGACAGAGCGGAACCGCGCCACAGCGTTTCTGAAGCTGTAATCTTGACAGAAGCACACTACTTAATCTTTCTTCCACTGAGTAGGCTGCTGGGTTTGTACCACTGACTGATGATCTTTTGGTCAGCAGCTGAGTGTTTTAACCACCGTGCAACTAGGACCCCTTAAGAGCTAGGCATCACTGGTCAATTACACTGTAGGGCTGAAATGCATTTTTCCCATGTTATAAAGCTGATTCACTTAAGATGAGACCAATGAGTTTAGGTGTACTGGCCTAAACAAAGTTGACAGGGAATTTGTTATGTTGAATTACTCTACAAATGTAAGAACCATTCACTGGAAACATCACACAGCTCAGTGTCCTTTCTTTCAAACCACAAGGGCATAAGGAACCTCGAATTAGACAAAGCTGTGTGCTCATATAAGAGAGCAGATACCCCAGAGAGATAAGACAATTCCGTCCTTATACGCCTAAACTTACCTCGGGCTCTCTCTTCACGAGTCTCCCCCGAAGGCTCCCAAGACTAGTTTCTGTGGCTGGAGACTGAGATTGGCTAGCTTCTGCATCTCTTCTGTAAGACCATTTCTAAGATCCTCATTGTTTCTCAGAAATTCTTTCACCAATTCCAGTCTTATTGAGGTCTGCCAGAAGGAAACCATGCAATGTTTAGCTGAGGTCATTTTCTAGAAGATTGCAATTCCACAAAGAACTAGCTCCAAGACTGGCTCCTGCTCAAAGGATTCAAAGAGTTTAAACAATCCTTTAAAACAAAGTGCTCTCCATTCAAAATAGTACTACTTCTGGGACCATACAGTGCGGCATTTGCTTGTCTTCTTAAATTCATATTTGTTGTTGTTGTTAAGTGCCATCGAGTCGTTTCTGACTCAGTGAACCTGTGTAGGGTTTCTGAGGAACAGCTGGTGAGTTTGAACCACTGACCTTGCGATTCAGTGCTTATCCTACAGTGCCACACCAGGAGTCCTGGACTGTGAACCACAAGGTCAGCAGTTCAATCCCACCAGCTGCTCCTCAGAAACCCTGTACAGAGTCACTATGAGTCGACAATTAACAACTCATAACAACTCATGTAAAAGGGCTTCATTTTATGCTTTTAAAAAATACATATAAAAAATATGAATATATATTGTTGTTAAGTGCTGTTACGTCCTTAGCAACCTTGAATAGGGTTTCCGAGGAGTGGCTGGTGAGCTTAAACTGCTGACCTTGCAGTTCAAAGCGACACTGCAGTCCAGCGCATTAACCCACAGCGCCACACCAGGACTCTGTGTGCATATATATATATAAAGGTAATAAATATACAAGGGTGCTTCATGGAAATATGGAAAGAAAAGAGAATGGATTGTTTTTCATTAACTTTTTGAAGTCCTCTTGTACATGATACAAAATGAAAACACCAGAGTGTGAGATAACGATTCCTCTTCCTGTCCCTAGTAGCGTAGCGCTTTCTCCCCAGAAACAACCATGATGAACAGTTTGGGTTGCTCCCAGAAAGCCTATGCATTTTTATGTGTGAACATGTGTATTATGTATTGTTGTTGTTAGTGTTGTTAAGTTGGTTGGTTCCGACTCACAGCAACCCTGTATAGGGTTTCCAAGGAGTGGCTGGAGAGTTTGAACCACCGACCTTGTGGTTCAAACCGACTGTGCGGTCCAGTGTATTAACCTACAGTGCCACACCACAGGCCTCACTCTTAAAAAAACAAACACCCACACAAATGGAGACGCTATTGTCCCACTTGCTTAGATCCTAAAGATCTTTAATCAAAACATAAAGAACAGCCCCATTCGGTGTTTGGTTGTGGTTGTTTCCGATTTTTAACACATTATTATTTCCAACCTTTTGCTGAGACAATTAGGCTGCAGTAACTGACCTGGTACATGTGTCATTTTGCACAAATGACAAGTCCATTTGTAGGATCTGTTATTAGAAAGGGAATGCAGCTTTAATGCTGGCAGACACTCCTGTTTCTTTGAAGTGCTAACCCTGGCACCTTGTTTGGGAATAGGAGTGTTCTTTTGTTATGCTAATGAGGACACATTCCTAAGAAGAGTCTTACAAAAAGCACACACACACACACACACACACACACACACAGGGACATGACAAGCCCAAGAACACCAAGGACTGCTGGCCACTACTAGACACTGACAGAGACAAAGGATCCCAAAGGATCCACCCCTCTTGGGAGATCCTTGTGCTGTCTGCTCCTGTCCCTCTTGGCGGCCCCCCAGACCTGACCAGAACTGGAGTAGTGGGCTCTGCAGCATTTCTCCTTCTTCGGGCCCCTGCCTGACCAGCCTAGGGCTGCCCTGAACCAGCAACTCGGAGTCTCCATTGGCCAGACCAAATACGCTTTCCTGGACTGCGGTAAGACTGACTTGACTTGCTATGTTCCACTCATTTTCTTTGCCTTTGCTGAAGGCCAGGTATAAAAAGCACTGCTCCTCCCTCATCATCCACCTCACTTCCCTTTTTGAATCTTCTCCAAGAAGAGTGTTCCTTAAAGGCCACAACTTAGAACATCAGTAGTATAAGCATTTACTCTGGTGCTCCTGGGAGGAATGGAGGCGGAAGACACAAGGAGAAGTGGAAATTGGTGATGTTCCATTGTGGGGATTGCAATCAAGGAGATGAAACAAAATGTATCTGAATTGTTAAATGGAAAACAGATTTGCTCTGTAAACCTTCATCCAATTCATAATAAAAAGTCTTAAAAAAAAAAAGGAAAGAGGTGCTCCTGGCTGGTAGATCAGTGGATACCTTTCTTTCTTTCAACTATTATGAAGAATGGAAAAGACTTGTTCCCATTTACACACACACACATCAAGGGGAAGGAGGAAGTAGATGGTAACAATTGAAAACATTAGAATAAAAGCAACAGAATGCAGCAAGACAGGCTTGGGTATTGAGGTCCTATTGTTAGCTAAACTTTGGTGATGACCTTAGGCAGAAATTTTACCTTTCTACAAACAAGGGGTGAGGATTAGAAATAATCTACTAACAGCATTTAGCAATGTATCTAGTACCCTTCTGCTTTCCTTCTGTTCCCTTCCTTTAATAAATATTTACTGAGAAATCTACCCTGTACCAGCCACTGTTCTAGCCTGAGGTGCTTGGCAACTCCAGTCTTCCTGTCAATTAAGCCAAAACTCTCAGCATTGTCTTTGATGCCTCTTTTTCTCTCATATAAGCTGCTCTGGTGGTACTGTGGGTTAAGCAATGGGCTGCAAATGGCAGTCTGCAATTGAAATCCACCAGCTGCTGGAAAGATTTAGTCTTGAAATCCTATATAGGGTTGCTATGAGCCAGAATCAACTTGTTGGCAGTGAATTTGGTTTTTCTTTACCCACCTTCTTACCACACCTCTACCCAGTACCCGGTTCCGACTCACCATCCTGTCTACCTGGAGTACCGCAGCTGCTCTCTGCTTCTGTCTTAGCCCTTCCCACATCTACCACCCAGGCAGCCTCAACACAGCAGTTTGTGCTCCTTTATCATTCTTCTGCCCAGAGCTCAGCAAAGGCTCTCACTACATAGGAGCAGGGGAGTTCTTCCAATGGCTCACTAAGCCCAATATGACTCAGCGCCTTCCTCCCTGACCTCAGGGTCCAGTACTTTCCCTAACTCTGCTCTGGCCCTACTGCTCTCTGCTCGGCTTGCTCTCCCCTGTCTGAATGTTCTTCCCCCAGATATTGTCGTTAAGTACCTCTGAGTCAGTTCTGACTCATAGCGGCCATGTATAGGGTTGCCAAGGAGCAGCTGGCAGGTTTGAACCACTGGCCTTTTAGAGAGCAGTCCTGTGCTTATCCTACAGCACTCCTCTCCTCCAGATATACCAAGGGCCAATGTTCCCTTCTTCAAGGTACTGACCACCCTACAGCAACCTGCTACTCGTCTGCACTCTGCTCTGACCCAGATGCAGGGTGGTGCCAGGTACAACCAAAGTCATTGCAGCCACACCAAGAGAAGACGCAGAGAAAATCTGAATCACTTACAGGCAGTGGGACACAGATAGTTTCCACATACCCTAAAATGTCTGCTACCAATGCATCTGGCTAAACACAGAGCTTACATATGTTTTGCAAAAGCTAGCAGTCACATCTACACATTCCATTTCCAAGGACAGGGGTATTTTGATCTATGAAAGGAACAAACAAATCTCATTCAATTACAGCTCTTTATCTAACAAAAATGTCTACTGCAGCTGTTTAAGTTTTAGCTTTAGCCCAGAGGAGGAGACACCAGCTCTGGGATGAGTCTTGTTCTTCAAGGCGGACTTCTCTGGAATGTTATCTGCTAGAATCTAGCATCCTCTGCTACTGGGCCTGGAGATTTGGTTTGAATAGTTTTTTACACACTGAGTCATCACCGCCACTCTTGATACCCCCCACCTCCCTGCTCCGCTCTAATTGTAGTTCTCCTCCTTCTACCCACATAATCTAATTACTACATTTATTGTTTAATGTCTGTCTCCCCCTGCAGGGAGCTTTTTCTGGTTCCATCACTGATGTACTCTAAGCTTCTAGAACTGTGTCTAGCACATAGTGGGCACTCAATAATGATTTCTAGGTCATAACAGATAAAGTGTCATTCTGTGTCCTCACTGTACTTCCCCATGGGTCTCTGTGAAAGGGGTTCCCCTCACCAGGATTTAAGAAAACCAGTACTGATTTTAAATAATGTGCAAATTATTTCAGTTTTTTTAATGCAGTTACTACCCTCAATGTTTTTCAGCTGAAGATTAAAACCCCAAGATCCTAACAGAACACCAAGGGCTGCAAGATAGTTTGGTTGCAGGTGGCATCCAGCAGATGCACCCTCCATGGTGTCCCTGGGTGCCCGAGCAATGGTCCCATTTGGCTCCACAGCGGAAAGCATTTTGCAAGCACAGTTGTACTGCAGAATCTATACATATATATGTATGATAATTGTCTACACCGTTGTTGTTGTTAAGTGTCGTCGAGTCAGTTCTGACCCATAGAGACCCTGAACAGGGTTTCTGAGGCTGTAAATCTTTACGGGAGCAGATAGCCTCATCTTTCTCCCGTGGAACCGCTGGTAGTTTCGAACTGCTGACCTTGTGGTTCGCAGCCCAATTCGTAACCACTACACTACCAGAGCTCCTTGTCTACACCGTTAAGGCTCATCAAACTAACAGAAAAGAATAGAATGGATGAGCTGAACTCTGGCATGCTCTCCTTGGCCTTCCCCGGGGTGGGGGTGGGGGTCTTACAGTATACCATTCCCTTGCTCTGCGGTGTGTTTCCTGGAACGGACATACCATATCAAGTCCAATAACTCTGTTTTCAACCCCAACTGTTTTCATAAAAAAACAGAAGTAGACCTTGTTGAACATTCACACACACACAAACCTGTAGCTGTAATACAATCACTGTATTTCTTGATTCCTAGGTGCACGTTTACTCCCATATTTTAACATCCCATATAAGAAAGTACCTTACCGGTGACTGTCTTATAATTAATGGACAAAGCCCCACCCCTCTACCTTATTGGAAGTCACTGAACTAATGGCATGTCCTATAATTGATGACATTATAAATTCACTGAAATTTGGTCTTATCAAAGTCTCTGCCTTTGGAGACGAACCCTAAAGTACACAGATTACATATGGCATTGAACTTTCAAAAAAAATCAAGGTCCACAGATCGTAGAATGGCAACCTTTAACTTCTTGGAGAGACATGCCAATCAATCCTAACTTACATGAAATATTAAGAGAAATGCCATGGTCTGCCGAACAGAAAGCTTAAAAAATGAGAGTTTATCAACTTCATCCAGAGACCTGGTGACCCAGAAGACAGGCCAATTAACCTCTGTTTCCTCTCTGTAAAACAGAGATGATTAGGGTTCAGGACATATACTTGCCAGCTCCTCTGTGTTACAGAATCTGCACACCACCTGCAAGAAGGCTCAGGACCAGAGGGGTAAGATCTCCAGGCCAGCCTCAGATCCAGCCACATGGCCTTGCACTGTCAGGGCCTGCTTCTTGAGACCACTACCTCTGGGATGTAAAGAAGCACGGGTGTGATCAGATGATTGCTAGGCTTCCTACCAGCTCTCAACTATATAGATGCCTGGCTTCATTATATTGCTACTGATACAGTTTGCATTTTATCACATCAACAGGAAAAGACTTGTCATTCCCTCAAGTAAGAAGAGAGAACTCCTTGAGGAGCTGAGGCCATGAGCCTGACTGACCCCAGAGTTGTCTTCTCTTGCTCTACTCTGTTCTGAAAGAGGCAACAGAAAAGAAACAGGGAATGCTTCTGTCATTTTCAAATAGAGCAAGATGGGACACATGGCTTTAGAAACTGGAAGCTTACAAACAGCCCACACTCTTACTGGTTGTTTTAAATGTCTACGGTGTACCAGAGCAAGTGTACCCCAAAACAAGGCGTCCCCAGTCTGTGTGCTCAAGGAGTTCACCAAGCTGAATAGGCACTGGAAGATCAGAATACTTATATAGGCATAAAAGTGGGAGTCAATAAAGTTCATGGAAAAATGGGATTAAAGGTCATGGAATTTTCCCACAAACTTTTGAAGTCCCCACGTATATACCAGTAAGGAGTGTACTTTGTGAATGGCATACACATTTTTTATTAAAGACTTTTCCTGTATTCAGTGAGGTAATCCGCAAAATGACAGCCCTAAGACAAGGAGGACCGGAGAGGCGAAATAATTTTTCCAAAGTTTCTTGGTGACTTAGAATTTGAATCCAGCCAGTGCTACGTTATTTCTGAGCCTTACAATTCCACTACTGTATCTTTCCTACCTTGTATATACCGAAGGGATTCATTCTTTCTGTTCTCCCTACCAGGACTCAAGACTTTCATTAGCTTTCCTTATTCTAAGCTTGACACCTTGATGATCTTTGAACCACCCTCTCCTTTTACCAGCCCCCCTCAGCCCATTCCACATCCCAGGTAACCTAACCCACCACTAACATCCATGTGCTTTGCCTGGAATAAATTCCAGAATCTGGCCCCACCTCCATTGCATCCAGTTCAGACCTTTTTTCTTCCCACCCTCATGCTTCCTTGATCTAATTCAGTCTAACCACCACCTCCGGTAAGAGTTAACTTTCTAAAAGCCATGTCTGATCACCTCACTCTTTCTTCTTTACCCGATGGAGTTTTTGAAATCTAAGACATTTGGCATGGCATATGTCTTTCAAAATATGGCTATTTTACTACCACCCTCATACCTGACCATATTTCCTATGCTTGGTTTGTCGTTCCCCAGGCCCTTCGGCAGAGCACCCTTCTTCCTTGGCCAAACTCATTTGATTTTGCAAGTCTCAGCTCAACAGCACCGTCGTCACAGCAATGCCTTTTCTACAACCCCCTTGACCCAGACTTTGTTCAGAACTGGGTTAGCCCTTACTGGGTTTCCACTTCAGGATACACACAGAGGGGCTTCAAAAAGTAGTGGGAAAAGTACATTAGCTTTCAATTCCTCTCGTAGTAGGCACACAAATGTATGTATTTGTGAAAATGTACTATTACTGTGTAAAGAACAGTTACTTCTGGCAATGATGTGACTTAGAGATCAGAATCATAATAATTGACTCTATGTCCAAATGAACTACTCTTCCTGCCTGGCCAGAGGATGCAATACTTTTTTTTTTTACCTCTTCAGACAACACCTCTTGCTCTTCTGCTTGAAGATAAATCTCTTGAAGCTTTTCCTTTAGTAATTCCATTTCAATCTCATTTACTTGGCTCTCACTCAGGTAAACTCCTGCTTCACATTCAAACCCATCTCGCTGATCTTCCTCAGGGATATGAACAGCCCAGTCAGATGTCAGAAGCTGTCGGATGATCAAACAATTATATGAACTGATTTAATGAAAACAATATTCCAGTGCATTATTCTAAGAATCTGCAAAGAAACATCATTAAGCAGATCCACGTAATACCCTCCTGTGACTGCGTTGCAGGCCAGCACAACTCTAGATTTTCTATCAACAAGGTGGGCACATACTTTCTCCTACGTATCCCATAAATTTTCATTTCAATCTATTAAACTTCAATTCGAAATGCGTCACTGTGGCTTTTTTCTCCCTTCAGTTCCAAATGTCACAACCGTTAAATACAATTTTCACCTGTTCGATTCTGGAATACACTGCCACAATCTCTGGGATATTCTTGAATTCATTCAGAAAATTTTGAATCTTCATCTGAAAATCTTGAAGCCACACAGAAGATACTTTCATCTCTGAAGAGTGCATGATCTCATTCCGACACTTAATCACCTATAGAAAGACAAAAAAGATAAAAAGGCTTTAAAGTCAAACAATGGTATAGACTGCAATTTTGTGGTTCCATAGAGACATTTCAGAAAGGCTATGTTAACTACAAAAGCCACAATTGTGGTCCCCAGAGGAGAAAGACCAGAACTTTCTTGGGAACATATGTATGATCTGGCGTACCTGTACTGTGGCTTAAGGATTCCAGCCCCCAAGTCATATCCATATTTAACTTCAATCTGTTCTGGGGACACATGCACCAAGAAAAGAAGTATTCCTTGGAGTGTGAGTTGAAATGCCTTCAAGGGCTCTTCAAGAGAGACAATAAGGAGAGGCGGGATTGGGAAAATTGGAGTGTGTCCTTACCCTATCTAAAGGGACAGCTGTTACTCACTCGGCTTGTTGCCATGGAAGCTGTATGAACCCAGTGTAGTCAGATCTCCTGATTTTTTCAAGAGTAGCTGACAATTCATATTTTTATAACAAATTCAAAATTATAAAAAAAAAAAATGGGAAGGACAGATGAAACAAGATATTATTGCTGTATTTTATAAGCCAGATTTTGGCCACAGGATTTCGGGAATAAAATGATGGCAACTGGACAACAGAGGTACAACATCTCTCCCCTTCCTAAGCCTCTGATGCAGATTCCTGAACAATCCAGAAGCTCTTGGGATGCCCACCTGGGTGCTGTTAAGGATAGCAATGTCCAAACTTCTGCTACTTGGGTAATTCAATCAGGATTAGGACCACAAACACACCCATGACTATCTTTAGCCTTTGAGATCTTGTGACCAGCCAGCTATCATTCACATATAACTTCAACAACTTTATCTAAAACAACTTGTCAAAGAGCAGTAATACAAAAATACTGTCTCCAGAAAGTTAGGTCAAAAGAGGCTTTTGATGCAGAAATTACAATGAAAAGAAAATCAACTTCTGCCAAAATTTAAAATGGTACTATATAATCGAATCAGACTGTGAACCGCAAGGTCAGCAGTTCGAAACTACCAGCTGTTCCGCGGGAGAAAGATGAGGCTTTCTGCTCCCGTAAAGATTTACAGCCTCGGAAACCCTGTACAGGGTCGCTATGAGTCGGAACCGATGCCACGGCACATAACAACAACAACAACATATAATCATATATTAACATATGCCTCAGATGAAGACCTCAACGTTCTTAGTTAAAAGATACCAAAGGGGTTGATCAAGTACTGTGATAGCTCTTTGCATCTGCTGATGTCAGAAAAGATTCACAGTCCTTCTGGTGGCTGACAAGCGAAAATCCAAACTTGTTTCTACTGAGTCAATTCTGACGCACAGCAGTGCTGCAGGACAGAGTAGGCATGTCGCACCCATAGGGTTTTCCAAGGCTGTCATCTTTAAAGAAGCAGACTGCCACATCTTTCTCCTGCAGAACCGACCTTTAGGTTAGCAGCTAAAACAATCCAGCTGTACTAGACACCACTTAAAAAAAAATGATCTGTAGAGTAATAATCATGCAAGACCTAGTCTCTGGTGAAACAGAATCTCCAGCAGTTAGAGAAAATCTGACATGCACAGTGGTCTACTCTGACACTGTTTATCCATTAGTGTTTATCTTTTCTTCAGTTCTGTGTTAATTTGCTCTTATTACTAGTTACCCAAAAACATTCAGAAGGGCAGGATTCAATTACCCTGGCTTCTGTTTATAGCAGAACAGGGAACTGAGAACAGGAGGCACCCACATTTTCGTGGCAAATACAACAGCCAGAATTTTAACTGCCTGCACACATCTATGTTTGGAAGGGACACTATGTACTATTTTTGTAAGGCTGGCTTAGCACAACAAAGCGTATGTCTGCTGCTGATCTTCAATCCCTAGCTAACTGGTCCACTTAAAAACAAACAAAAAAACAGTTACTGTCAAATCAATCCGACTCACAGCGACCTCGTGTGTGTGTGTGTGTGTGTGTGTGTGTGTGAGTTGAACTGTGCTCCGTAACGTTTTTCATGGCTGTGAAAAGACCACAGACCATGTAGATCGCCAGGCCTTTCTTCCAAGGCACCTCTGGGTGGCCTGGAACCACCAACCTTTTGGTGAGTGGCTGAGTGTTAACCACGCACACTCCCCAGCGACTGACTCTCATTAGACGGTTTTACATCCGGCAGCTCTTACCTCTGTGACTTTCTTTCGATCAACTGTGAAGTGGTCGCAGGAGTTGATGAGACTTAGAAGAGCGACTGCATCACATTCCTCCGGCCCTCTTTTGTCTGCCAGTCCTCGGGGCATGAAGGCCTGGAGTGTGGGCAAGCACAAGGGGCTCTTAAATCTCTAGAAGCTGCGAGGGCAAATATTATTTGCAGATGCCTCCAATGATGACCAAGATGCCTTGGCTCAAGGGAATACCCAAAGGGTTGTTCTAGTTGTCTCGTGTCATAAACAGACACGTGATGAAGGCCTCCCGGAACTGATTTTTCTTTCTGTCCTGTCTTACCAGTGTACAAGCAGGAAGCATGGGTAGAAAGCACTCGCCCTGTCCCTCTCATGTTTCAGTGGCTGAGTTCTTCAAGAGAATTTAAAAATAGCCAGAATGGGCTTGGAGTCTGCTGAGCTGCATGATCATGGGCAAGCTATTATTTATCCTCTACTTCTCATCAGTAAGCTGGGGGCAGCTGTCCTCACTGCAAAGGATGTTGTGAGAATTCAATGAGCAAATGCAGGCAAAACACCTGCACAGGGCCTGGCATGGGCCAATCAATATGGCAATAAATGCCGGCAATCATTGTGCTGATGAGGCAGGTGAATAGGATCACAGTTACAGATGGAATCGAGGGTCCAAAAGACTAAACTACTCCTCATTTATCAATGATCTCATCGCCCAGCATTTCACATTTAAAACGAGAGTAAAAAATCTACTACCCAACTACTGTGCACATAACGACATATGGCAGGTAGTAATGAACACTGAAATGCAAGGTGAGAGTAACACTGGGTACAATGGCTGTGTGTCAACTTGCTGGGCCATGATTCTCAGTGCTTTGGCAGTTATGTGATGACGTAATTTGGTAGTCATGTAAAGGTGTAGTCATCCTACATTTCATGATCTGATGTGATCACCCTCCATTGTAGCATAACGCCAATTTTCACAAAACAATCGTTCGTTGGCACATGCTGATAACTGAGAAGGGCCTCATTGTAGCACAATCTTGCCTTTAGTAGGGCTTTATGGCATGAACTTCAAAAGCGGTATCTGTGCAAGGCTCAGGCCTATGTCCTCACTGAAACATCCCCAAATTTATGTCTGGATGCACCCACTTTATTAATTTAAGCATCTCAAGAGTACATTCTTGCCAAAAGGACCAGCTATATGACCTATGAAAAATTGCTCACAGTAAGAACTCTAAAACAATGATTTCCTAAAAAATGGATAAATTCCAGTAGGCTAGGAACTACAATGCCTTCTTTGGTGCTGTTCACCATGGTATCAGAAAAGGCTGTGGTAGGCAACCCCCCACCTCCACCCCTGCTAGTCGTGGAAATGGGCACCGGAACTTCCGGTAATTAAGAAGAATTTTGCATATAAGGAAAGGTCCCTATCAAAACATATGGTAGTCATTACAGCCTTGCTATGTCAAAGCTTCTGAAAGCCATCTACTATAAATGTTAACAGGCAAAATAATACAATGAAAGTGCAGAAAGAAACTGCAAAGCCAGAGGAGCCTTGGCTGCCTTAGTTTCGCGCCATGTCCTGGCTGGCAGTTTCTCACCAATATAAACCTGCCTCATCCAGGTTGTTGTTGTTATGTACCGTAGAGTTGGTTACAAAGTCTAAATCTTCAAAAATTCAAAAGCAACAGGGGAGGCCTGCTGTCAGTGAAAATATTTTCTTAAAATTGGTTAGTGACTCTGTTTCATTTGAACACACAATGGTTAGAAACATACATTATTACCTCACCACACACTAAACCAAACCTGTTGTCTTCTAGTTGATTGTGACTCATAGCAACCACATAGGGCAAAACAGAACTACCCCATAGGGTTTTTAAGGCAGCAATCTTTACTGGAGCAGACTGCCACATCTTTCTCTCACTGGTGAGTTTGAACTGCTGACCTTTCAATGAGCAGCTGAGCGCTTTGAACCACTGCACCACCAGGGTTCCTTCAGCACACACTACTGCCTCTTGAATTGCAGGAAATTAGGTTGGAGAAACAAATGGGGGCCTGAGTTTATTGGGCCTCAAGAGCTCTGCCAAGGAGTTTGTTCACTATAAGGACACCAGGAAGGCAGCTGAGGGATTTTAGGCAAGGGAATAAAACGATCTCATTCTCATTTAAAGACCACGCAGGTGGACAACTGATGGAGGGACCCAGTGCAGCATCAGCAACAGAGGGTGAGAGCAGAGGCACCGAGACACAGGTGCAAATGACAGGGCAGATGCTACAAGAGAGATTCTAGTAGTTGGTGGTGGGGAGTAGGGCAGGCTTGGGAGTGGGGGAAGATGACAGTCCTGTCTTAGAAATAAACTGGAGGTAAGGAAGTGCTCAGAAGAGAGGTTAGGGCTAGGGTAACAAATCTGGGAGCCCACAGCATAAAGATAGCAGGTAAGTCCTTGGTGGTGGTGGTGAAGTGCCATGGAGTCAGTTCTGACTCACAGCGGCCCTGTACAGGGTTTCCGAGGCTGTAAATCCTTACGGGAGCAGAAAGCCTCATCTTTCTCCCGCGGAACAGCAGGTAGTTTCGAACTGCTGACCTTGAGGTTCGCAGCCCCATTCATAACCACTACGTTACCAGAGCTCCTTAGGTAAGTCCTTAGGCCTGGGTAATATCACCAAGAAGAGGAGGCAGGTGTTTGGAGAGAGGGGTCAGGCACCAGAAGGGTGGCTGGAAGGAGACTAGGAGGAGGAGAAGCCAGGAAGATAGGAGACCAACCAGGAGAGAATGAGGTCTCAAGGCCAGGAGGGTTTCCAGAGGAAGAGTGGCCAACAACAGTGCTGAGAGTCTCTGACAGGAGAGAGACGACGCCAGAGAACTTCAGGCTATGTGTAACCAAACAAGAGTAGATGCAATGGAGGGGTAGACTAGAAGACGGGTGGGAGGAAGAGCCAATGGGAGCAGAGGAAGAGAGAGAAGCTGTGCTGAGGATGTGTACAAGGTGGCCAGAGAAATGGAGAGAGAGCTGGAGGGAGGGGCCTGCTCACTACCCACTGCCACTGGGTCGATTCCGACTCATAGCAACCCTACAGGGCAGTGGAGACTGCTCCTTATGGCTTCTGAGGCTGTCAATCTTTCTCCTACAGAGTGGCTGATGGGTTTGAACCACTGACCTTGAGATTAGCAGCCCAACACTGGACCGATTGCCCCACCAGGGCTTGAGGGATGGACCAAAGGAGGATTTTCTTTCCTTTCTTCCCTTCATTTTCCAAGTATTCTTCTCTAACTTTACTAAGAGATGATTCACACACCACACAATCTATACATCTGAAGTACACAACCCAGTGGGTTTTGGTGTATTTGCAGAGTGTGCAATATCACCAGAGTCAATTTGGAACATTACATCACCTCGAAAAAGACCCTATACCCTTTACCTATCACACACCCCGCCCTCCCATCCACCCCACCACTGACAACCACTGAGTTACTTTCTGTCTCTATGGATTTGTCTTTTCTGGACATTCATGTAAATAGAACCAAATAATATGTAGCCTTTTGTGTTCGGCTTCTTTCACATCATGTAATATTGTCAAAGTTCATCCCCGCTGCAGCTTGTCTCAGTAGTTCTTTCCCTTCTATGACTGAATAACACTCCATTGTATGGTTACATCGGTTTGCTTATCAGCTGATGGATATTTGAGTTGTTATCTTTTTGTGTGTACACGTTATAATTTCTCAAGTCTATGTCTAGGAAGAGTCTTTGCATGACACTGTAGGATAAGCACTGGCCTGCTAACTGCAAGGATGGCAGTGCAAAGTCACCAGCCACTCCTCAGAAACCCAATACAGGGTTCACGATGAGTTGGAACCTACTTGACAACGCTTAACAATAGCAGCAATACACCTAGGATTCTTGCTCTGCAGACACAGTGGCTTAAGCATTGGGCTCCTAACAGAAAAGTCTGCGATTCAAATCCACCAGCCACTCTGAGGGAGAAAGATAAAAATTTTACATCCTCAGAAACCCTATCATTAGCTATCACAAAGTTTGACTCTGTCCCCAAAGGCTGCTGAGTCGGAACTGAATTGACGGCAGTGGGTTTGGGTTTTGCAGGGCTTACAGGCCTAGGAGGAATGTGCTGGCTCCATACGATAAGCACTGGGATTGCAAACTGCAAGGTCTGCAATTCAAGCCCACCAGCTGCTCCATGGGAGAACAATGAGGCTTTCTGATCCCTAAAGAGTTAAAGCCTATACAGGGTTGCTATGAATTGGAACAAACTCAACAGCACTTACAACAAATAGGTCTCCTAGGAGTGGGACTACTGAGTTAATTCTGTTTAATCCTTACTTCAAAAACCATAAATCCAGACAATACTAAAGCTATTTGCATGGTGATAGAAATAAATCAGGCAAGAGGAAGAGTGGCTCACTGAAGACTCCCACACACCACTGGAGGAACAGGCCGATGAGAGGAGATACTTTTCTCACCATAACAAGAAGGTTTGGTGAAAAGATGAGGAAGTATGTGTTTGGGGCACCCATCAATCCATGAAACACAAGCAAGCGTGGAGGAATTAGGAAGGGAGCCTGCAAGAGAGACACATGGCCTGACTGCAAGGGATCTTGATCCAGAACTGCAAGTGAAACCAGTCAGCTCCTTTGTGAGACTTCGCCCAGGAGCCGAAGCAGACATCGATGTCATCAGGGTTGGACCAGGCACGTTCAGAAAGGAGAGAAGCAACTGCGAGGAGGGACTGGTTTTAATGATGACTGTGGAATGTGAATAAGCTAACGAACCCAGTGAAACCAGGAGGACAGAGGCTGCTGGGCACTGAGAAAACAGTGGTTGAAATAGTATGGGGGCAGGGAGTGTTTGAATGAATGTACCAAAGGAAGAGACTTTCTGTGAACAAGCAAGGAGGCTGAGGTGAAGTGGACCAGAGTATTCAAGAGTTAAGGAGACCAACAACCGAAAGGATGGGACTGGGGAGGGAACGTAAATACTGGGGAAAAGTAGGTCTGCAGGTGACACAATGAGGAGGGGGAAAGGGTAGCATAAGCAGGTGGCACAGGCTTCAAAAGGATTCTGAGGGTACAAGAGCAGCAATGGAGACCAAACAGGTGAGGGATGGGCAATGTAAAGAATATAGTTTTGTTTCTTCACGTTTTTTCTCTTTGCCCTTAAAAAGTACAACAATGACAACCCTGTGGCCGCAATGAAAATGGGGATGGGGTTGTGTGGTCATTTACAGGCCAGGATCTCCAGATGCCAGGACTCTGGTTGCCAGCTTCCCAGGTGCTGAGCCCACATCTGCTACTAACCCACATGTAGACTGACTCCCCAAAGGGTCTTTGTGTGAGGAAGCCACCTCTGGCTGGGCTTTTACGAAACACCATAAAGTTAAAAACTTAGGCTCAGCTAAGTAAATCACATCTGAACCAGAACTAAAGCACAAATCCACTGACAATGGCTCAATTCCAACTCATAGTGACTGATGAGACAAAACAGAACCATTTTTAAGACTCTATGGGGGCAGGCATGTGCGTGGTGGTGCAATACAACAAGCATTAGGCTGCGAATCACAAGGTCTGCAGGCCGACAGCCGCTCTGTGGGAGAGAAAGACGCAGTTTCTGCTTCCTCGATGGAAACGGAATCACTGACAGCACTTAACAACAGTGGGGGTAACCTTGGAGCAGCTGGTGAGCTTGAACTGCTGGCCTTGTGATTTGTGGACTGCACCACGGGAGCTCATTTGCACCTGAACACACAACTGTTAAGTCTCCTAGCCCCTCCCTTGATCATTCCTTAGTTGGACACTTGTTAAGTGGCCTTCGAGTCAATTTTGGGTCAAAGCAACCCTGCAAAGGCTTTCCAAAAGGAGTTTGAACTGCTGACTTTGTGGTTAGCAGTTCCAGTGCGTATCCTACAGGACCACACCAGGACTTAAGATCCTTCCTGTTTTAGCTCTAATGCCCCTGTCTTCCTCAGCCATCCTAATGGCACCTTATGTGCCAGCCAAAAGGATCTACTGAGCTTCTCAAACAGCTGCAGTTTTTCGCCCTTTCAGCCTGTGCTGTCATCGCCCAGCATCTCTGGATGAAACCCTTCCTGCACCTTCCCCGGCAGGGGTGGTGGTGGTTATGGTGTGCTGAGCAACCCTGAATAGGGTTTCCAAGGCTACAAATCGTTTTGGGGAGCAGAAAGCCTCATCTTTCTTTCATGAGTAGGTGGTAGGCTCGAACCCCTGACCTTGTGGTTCACACAGAGCTCTAGGCTGGGATGGTTGTTGCTATTGTTGTGTGCTGTCGAGTCCGTTCCAATTCATAGTGACGCTGTATAGGATTTCTCTGTGTGGCGCTGTAGGTTTGAACCACAATGTTGGTGATGCAAACGCATCTGCTGCTCCTCGGAATCCCTCCATAGGCGGCGAAAGGACTCAACTGCACTTAACAACAAACCCCTGGGGACCACCAGGGATAGGAGACTCAAATGTCTGCAGGTAAAACCCAACAGTGCGTTGGATCAACTATACCAGCCCCGAACCACCTAGATGTTTCAGATGCAAAAATTTTCAAAAACTTTGTGAATCAAATAAAACCCTGCCGTTTCCTTTGGCAGGCTCCTCTGGGTGAGGCCCCAGCTTCCGCGCGAGCTCACAGACTCCGCCCCTCCCCTCCCCCACCCGGTCTCGTGGGCACGAGACTACTCACCGCCTTCTCCTCCCCTCCCCGTCATAGGTGCTTACCTTGGCTACCTCCCAAGCGTCGAGGGGCCAGCGTTCCGGCCGGCAGTTTCCCCAGTGGACGTCTCCATTCCTGTTGGTGTGATGGCTCAAAATCTCCCTTTTCCACTCGGCACACACCTGACACTGAGGCTGGAACTACAGGGGATGGCGGTGAGGGATGCGCCTGAGAGCCAGCGCTGGGCAGCGTCTGGGGTCTCTGCGCCTCGGAAGTCGCGTGCAGTCCCGCCCCGCGGAGGGACCCAGAAACTGCTAGGGGCAGGGAAGGGGGTGTGAAGATCCCAAACCTGGAGCTCACCTGGCGGGCGCGCGGGCTGCACCGCAAGCCGCCACAGCAGGCGGCGCGCGGCCCCAGAGCAGGGGCGGAGGCGAGCAGGCCGCGGTGGAAAGCGAGCACCTCACGGCCGACAAAGCCTTGCAGGCAGCCACGCAGCAGCAGCAGGCAGTGGCCCGCCTTCACCCAATTCTTGTATTCAACACAGTTAAGGCGCACGGCCAGCTCCAACAGCACCATGGCCCATTCGGGTACCGGAAACTAAGGGGCTGGGCGGGCAGCAGTGCGCAGGCGCGGGGGCCTGGGAGCGCTGTTTCTGCGGCGGCGCAGCCCCGCCCAGAGGCTGTCCCTACGGGTGGCCACGTGGATGCGGGTGTCGCTGTGAGCAGAGTTTAGCAGTGTATGCTAGTCACACGGGCGGGGCGCCTTGGCTTCCTGGGCAAGTCAGCCAGCTCCTAGTCTTTGGTGACAACTGTCATTTAAGTGCCAAGGTAGCCTCTGAAAAGCTTATGCTCTTGTCTGTCCGCAAATCAGCCCCCAATTCAACACTCCAGACGTTCGGGCTATTTTTTCTAGGGACTTAGCTGGTTTCTAAACCCCGATTACCTGTATAAAATCGGGGCACTTTGTGAAACGTTACCACAGGCTGACTGTACCACGTACCTATCATGTGGGCGGCGTGCCGGGAGAACACAAAGCTCAAAAACTTTAACTGGACAGTTCCAGGTCAGGTAAGTCTTTTTCACTATGGCCCAGAGGCATGGAGCAAGTTGCTATTGTGTTCTTGTTAAGGGCCGTCAAGTCAGTTCTAACTCATAGCAACCCTGTATAGGGTTTTCAAGGAGTGACTGGTTTGAACCGCCAAGCTTGGAGCTCAAACTGGCCTTACAGTTCAGCGCATTATCATGCAGCGCCACACCAGGACTCCATGTGGAGTAAGTTAGATGATAATTATTTTATTCTCAGGTTGTAAGTGCTTCGTGTCTTAGAAGATGGTGTCAAGTTTGAGGTAAGTTCCAAATAAGTACCAAAAGGTAATAGGCCAACAAATGGATTGTCAACTCCAGCGGTCAAGAGCTCATCTCAACTTTAACTGTTTATTTAGTGAGTGAGCCTCTTGTGTTTGGAAACATGTAAGCATGTACAGTCAAAAGGCTCTGAGAGAAGAGTCTAGAGGACTTGCCATCCCCAACTAGGTTCACAGGAGAGCTGCACAATGGTTAACAACACTAGTGCTGGACTCAGAGCTTCCTAGCTTTGTTTTGACCTTAAATAAATCTGTTGAAGACTCTACTTGATTTTAAGCATTTACTTCACTTCTCTGAGTCTCAGTTTACTCATCTGTAAAGGGAGACTATTAATACCAAGCTCATAGGATTGCTGTGGGAATTGAAATACATAGTGCAGTGCCTGGCTTAATAAGCACTCAGTAAATACTAGCTATTATTTTGGTGGTGGTGGCTGTGTGCCGTGTGGTGGAGTTGATTCCGACTCACAGTGACCCTGTATAGGGCTTCCAAGAGCAGAACGCCTCATCTTTCTCCCATGGAATGGCTGGTAGTTTCGAACTGCTGACCTTGAGATCAGCAGCCTGACTCATAAACCACTATGCTACCAGACCTAAATATAATCAGTAAGTTATATTCCTAGGTAAGGTATTTTAACAAGTTGCTGGCCACTTGGAAGTTGGGGCAATTTAAAGAAAACTGTGAACAAGTACTATACAAGGAGACTTCCAAAACTATGTGGAAAAAATAAAATTAAAAGATAATGAAATTTTCTTGCCAACCACAAGGGAAGGAATCTTCACAGCAAGGATCAATCTCATCCTCTCTGTACACAGGGTTGATAGGGATGGGCAACTAACATATTAACTTCGTAAAATGGGGGGACTATAGAGTCCTGATGTGGTGCTGTGGGTTAATTTCCAGACTGCAAAGCCATTTGAACTGCAAGGTCGGCGGTTCAAGCTCACCAGCTGCTCCTTGGAAACCCTATACAGGGTCATGATGGGTCAGAACCGATTCAATGGCACTTAACAACAACATAAAGGCACAAAGTGACTGGCTTACAAGTTTTCAGGAGGGAGTTTAGTTTCAGTGTGTGTGTGTGTGTGTGTGTGTGTGTGTGGAAGGTAGAATCTCCACTGAATGGTTTTCATCCTATCTAGATGGGGCTGGTGTGTGAAAGGAGATGGGGATAAGACTCTTATGATTCAACAGTGAGTAATTGTCATCATGACTGACTGCGATTGTCGCAACTGTAAAGGTAGAGGTTTTGTAGTAAAATGGGGGGAGTGGTTGATCTTACAGTCCAGGAGTGAAGGACCCTGGGACCATCAAGGGAGAAGAGCGGGAGTGGAGTGTGGGACTCTACCCAGAGAAGCAGCAGTGTCAAGAGATGGAGGCAGAGGGGCTGTGTGCTGGTGGCTGAGGGGCAGGCTTGCAGGGTATGCCCTTTGGTTGCTTGAATGATTGTATATTCCTGAGTGTTTTCGTGTACATCCAAAAAACAAAAAAGATACTGAAATCTTTTGATGGATTTTGTGAAGACTCCTTACACTAAATTATGGTGTTTCTGGAGTAACGTAGCACAGTACCAACTGGCCTAACCTTATTTATTCTTAATAACTTCAGTACTAAATCTATCCTAAGTAAACATCAAGCATGCCCTTGAGAACTATCCACTCCCATAAAAACCAAATGAAAATGAAAATTTCAAGAAATAATGAAATGTATGTACCCTTTGGCTATTAGATATCTTAAAATTTTCTGTACGCTGATTTTATACCAAGAATTCCTAGATGATAAATACTAAACTATAATGTAAAAGGTATTTCTTCTTTTGGAGAAAAAAAAAAATCATGAAAGAATTGAACAAATTTTGTATGTTGAAATTGGATCAGAATGCAGAGTGGCAAAATTCTAAGTTTTAAAATTAACCATGGTCTAAAGAATGACTAACAGATAGATAGTATTCTGTGATTATTTAACAAGTTACTGTGTTAACTGCAGCACAGTAAATTTATTATTGGACATATAAATTCAAAATTATGTATATTTTAGTCGATCCTTATACTTGGCCCACTCAGAATTTTTAAACATTAAGATTCAGCCCGCTATTAATAATCTCCATTGATACATTATGTTGAAGTTGCCACCTTCTTCCTCTCTGCTAAGTCTGAATGTACTTTTACACAATCTGAAATTGCATGTAAGCAGATGGGGGTGTGTGTGACAAATCAGGACCAATTTCTTGTTTCAAGGTTAAAGGAGTACTATATCAGATTACTATCCAAAGCATCTTCATCAAAATTAACTAGAGAGAGTTGGTAGTTCTCTGAAACTTGTATAAATTTTATTCATCACTGATAGTACTAAAATCACATTGAAAACACCTTAAAGATCCAAACCACCTATTAAGAAAAATTCCTTTGGTTGAACCTGGATAACAAAAGAGGCAAAAGGCATAGTTTTGTGATGAAACCTAAGATTCAAACGCTAAATGTTTTCAAGCTTTAATAAAGTATATATCAATTCCAAGTACCAAGCATGATATCAAAATTCAAATCCATGAGTTTACTTTTAATAAGCATTGAAAGCAAATTCTGTTTCCTATCTTACTTTTGTTTTCACAATGCATTCGGAGATGAGTTATAATGGGGAGGGGGGGATTCATTGAATGCATCATGATTAAAAATGTAATTAACATTTAAAAACCACACTTAAAAGGGAAAATACCTGAAAAGTTAGCTCTATTAATAAAATTATGTGAAACAATATTATCCTGCAGATAAAAATACACTTCTTGTATATACATGTAGATTTCTACATGAAAGAAAGGATTCAACACCAAATAGAAAAGGGCTGATCCTTGATAAAGATATTTTAGATTGCCAAACTGATGTTATTACCATTGAAAAGAGAACTGAACATAGAAGGATACAAGGTCAGCTAAAGGAAGGATAAAAGTTCAGTCAGCTGCTTCCTGACTAGTGGTAGAGTTGGGTGAGAAACAGGAGATGAAGGCAGAAATAAGACAAAGAAGAAAGGCAAACAAGGCCACAACTCTGACCGAAATGGAGACTCAAGCCAAGTTCAGAACAGACATGATACAGCTGCAGTGAGATGTTCAATGCTAGAATTTGGTAGTTGATAGTTACAGAAGCTTAATTAAATGGTCTTAAAGTAGAATTCGATAAAGTATCGAAAATTTTATGGAGAACCATATTACAGCAACCAGATAATGCAGCATGGTGTTACCATTTTAAAACTTTCCCAATAATGTCTAATTCCCAGAAGACTTTTGCTTCAGATCACATTCTTTGAAGCTTAAAAAGTCCCTTCCTAATTGGGAGAAACAGCACTGTGCTCAAAAAAGAAACCGTGTCAAGATGTGTCAGTACCAGAAACTCCATTCAACCCCAGGATACGCAGACTAGATCCTGGATCTTGAGTCTTCAAAATGAGGGGAGACAGGGAACGGGTCTTTTTCAAGCAAAGCATTCTGTTTTTGTTGACAATAGTGGGAAGTAAGAGGGAAAAGTTAAGCAAGATAAATGAAAACTTACAGACATTTCATGCAAGGGTAGAGAATTAGAGTTCTTTGTTTCCTAATGAATTGTGTAGGCAGAGGTATCTTGTAAAACAAATCTGCCTAACAGAAAAGATTCCACATCCTCAATGGATGAGAATGATGGCACTACTTGGGATCCTTGATTAATAGGAACCACTTAACTGTGTCTTTTCAAAGACCAGACTTTTTCCTTTTCACCCAAATTCTACACCAAAAAGACCAAGGTGCAGTCAGGTTAAGAATGTCTGAAGAAAATAAATAAACCTGGAAATAAAGCAGCAGATGTTTTTGGCCAAATTTCAGACATGTATCATTAAAAAGTAATTATTGGCCCCACCAGGCTAAAGATGAAGGGACATCCTAAAATGTCTACAGAGCTTATACACACACAAGTGAGTGTCATTATTATTTCATTGTTGTTGTTGCTTTTTTTTTTTTTTTTTTTAAAACCTAGTTTTATTAAATATTGCTTCTTTGGGATCTGTTTGTAACAATTCCCAGAACATTTTCATGTAAGGATTCAGAGCGGTCATATTAAAATACAGCTTCAATATAAAGTTTATCACAGTTTTACAGTATTCAAAAATGACAGACCTGTCCTTAAAAAACAAAACAAAACAAAAAAAGGACTATTACACCCAAAACATAAGAAAACAATTAAATAA